CCACTATCAGCTGGAATGTTCCTTTTATGCCTTCCTCCTCTGAATTGATAAGATCACTGAACTTGATCAGTGTAGTATTTAAGTTTAGTATTTAAGTTCTAAACTGGTCCAACTCTCTTTCTCACTCTTTAATCATTCTTTTCTAGTATCTTCTATTAAATAGACACTCTTGTCTCTCCTTCAGGTCCTCTTTATCCTCCACACTAATTTCTTCAATTCTAGGGATATCACAGTCTATTTGTCTTCAAGGCTCCCCTTAAGCTTTGCTTCTTCTAGATAATCTATCCTGTCTCAGGATGGGATAAGAAGTGCAAATGTAAGTTGAAAACATTCTCAAATGCACAAAATATAAAGTGATTTTTAAATTAGTGCTATTATCACCATCTCAAAGACCCCTCCTTCGACAATCATTGATAAGAAAACTGAATATTTGATTTTTTTTAGCCCTTGAGAGACTGTCTTCACCAAATATTAGCAAATACTTCTCCAGAATTATTGTTTTAGTATTAAAGTGATGTCAAATAAGAAATAATGTCTCACTTCATTTATGAGTAATCAGTTTCTGAAATTGGTCTTAAAAAGTAAATGTATTTTTAAAAGCCCCATTATAATTCATACATAATTTGAGAAAAAAATAGTAATTGGTTTGAACTGAAGTATTGGTGGTTGGTTATAAGCAGGCCTGTGGGAGGTACTGGGGCAATAACATAAAATGTGTTCCTAGGGTCAGTCTGCCTTGCCAGCATCTGTATGTAACATTACCTGTGACTTAGGATCTGGACCTTTATTACATAAACATCAATTAGGATTCTGTTTAAGAAATTATATCAGCAGTATAAATTGGTACCTTAAGAAATCGAACAAAAATAAGAATTTCAGTTCTAGGCAAATGATATTTGACTAAATTTGTATTTCTTTTGATAATTTACATGCCATGCCAACACATCCACCATTATTATACCACTGTAAAGTATGGGGAAGATCAGAAGTAATAAATTAGCTAATTTTTTTTTAAAGTTATTGGCTGGCTCTTTAGGAGATGGAGACAATGGATAGTTAATTAAGTACATTTATTTTTTAATCCATGGAGCCATTTGCCCTCTAAATCTTTTCATGTGCAATGTATAAACAACTAGATAAGCATATGAGGAAAGAAAAACTATCCCCTAGAGATGGGAAACAACAGCAGAGTCAATGAAAAGTCCATATTTTAGGAATCATCAGATGGGATGGTTCAAATCTTGTCATTTGGCATTAATAAAATCTAAAGCCCATTTCAAAGATGGACTAAATTTCCAGCCAGAAAATAATTGCTGTTCCTGTCCTTTGTGTATATAACATCAATATGACTAAGAAAGAATTGTAGCCAGGCCCAGACCACCACCAAGCAATTGATGAGTCCCCATTAAGAGGGAAATGTTTACTTATTCATGGCAACTAGTTTTCAGAAGAAAAAGGAAAGAGGTTTGATTTTTAAATGCTGTCTTTTCTTCCCATCCTATGCCCAATCAAGATCATCCACTTCTTCTTGGAAGTGTCAAAAGCCCATTTTTATTTTCCGTTAGCTCTTTTAACCAGAATACTGATAAAGAGGGGAGAGCAGTTGCTATGAGGCAAAGAAAAATGTCCTGTCAGTTGAGGACCCTCCATCTATCAAGGGGAATTTGCAATGTTGCCTCTCTTCAATACTGTATAGATTTGCAGGATTTTGTGAAACACTTAACCAAAATGGAAGGATTTAAAAACAGAATGCAAGATATAGACACAATCATTTTTTTTGAAAATCAAGATACTTTAGTTTTATTTCAGAATTTTCTAATCTTGAATTCTTAAGCATCCAGCAGTGATGATCATCTCTGGATAAGACTTTTGAAAGAATGATTAGTATGGACAATTTAGACATATTCATCATATCACAGATTTCTAAAGATTAAAAGCTCTTACTAGAATTAAGATGTACTACACCAAATCATAGGAAAACATACTTATCTAATAATATTCATAAGCTATATTGAGCTGCAAAATAAGTTAAAGTGTCTGGGACACCAAACGACATTTGAAAATTTGGAAAGAATGTCCAGTTAGATGTTTACTTGTGATTCTAAGGATCTCTGGTGAATGGGAGACAATTCATATATATAGTTCCAATATGCAAAAAACCACCCTATATGAATATCTCCACTTCTTATAATAATGCAATATCAAAATAAATTTCTGCTCCCAAGTTTTGAGTTTATTAGCTATAAAGAGATCATCTTTCTTGAATAATTCTGACTCTCCATCTACCTTCCTCCGATTCTTCAGAAGGCATGTTGTATATGGAAAAACCTCCTGGAGTCCCCAGACTCTAGCTCTTGGAGGTAATTTAGATAAAGCCCCAGAACAGAATTGAAAGGAAATGTGGACTATGTCAAAGGTGCTTAAGGAGGAGGAGGAATCCAAGATGAAGCAGGGAAAGTGCAGTGCTTTCTTTGACCAAGAGGTACTGTGGGATATCCAAAGTGCACATTGGGACCCAAGAACACTATTCCCAGGCCCAGGGATGTGAAGTTAGAAATTATATTTGGAGTTTATCCTAGATCTAAGTCCTCCCCAGAGCACAACTGCTAAATGGGGGATGTATCTGTGCTTTGGGAGCCAAACGCTAAGAGTAAAAGCAAATATTTGATGCTGAAGAGCTCTTAAGAACTGAAGAGTGCCATTTACTTATTTCTACACGTCAGTGTGGTCTTAGGATGTTAAATAGATTAAAAGGCTAAGAGAGGTCAGTCACTCCAGGGAAGATTCTTCTTTTACTTCCCCTAACTTGGTTCTCTTTCCAAAATCCTTATTCACCACAACCCACTCCTGTAAAGAGTCCTTGGCAAACTCATAGGATGACACATCCTTTCCTAGAACATCCAGGAGAAGGTGGAGTCTGAGTTTGGGAACCAGAAATGAAGAAATGCCAGGAGGAGGGCGTCCAAAAGTCCACTCGTAAATGACACGATGAAGATGGGTTTAGAGAGTTTACAGAGGAATGGGATCTTAAATCCAATAAGATCCTTAGAAATTACCAAATCTATTCCTGTTGGGGGGCGGGGGCGGGTTTACAGAAATGAGGTGATTAGCGCTGGCTAAGGGCAGAACTAGAATGCAAACCGATTTCCAGGCCATCTACCTGACTCAGCCTTAGAAGTTCAGGTCCGATTTTGGGAATCCTAAGACTTCCATAGGACCCCACTGTCCACTTCTGGCTGTCGCCCTGGCCTTGTCTGCAGAGAGGACAGCCCAGTCGTTTCAATTTAATCTTATTTAAAAAGACATAACTAATAAATCTATTGCTGGGGCCTCGGAAAGACGGCCAGCAGAGTTGATCGTGCTCCCAATCCCATTGAACCCCATTGAAAACCATGACAACACCCGACAAGCTCCGATTTATCCCGGCAAGCTAAAGCGCATTGTGAGTAGGCGTCAATCAAGCATTATTCCGGACTGAACAAATGCAAAATCTTGACTGGAACAAATGCTTCCAACAGGTCCGGGGCGTCGAGCTCCATTTCCCCTTTGTCCACGGCCTAGCAGTTGGCCTGTATTGGAGTTGCCTCCGCCCGACCACCCAGAGCGCAGCACGGCCCGGGTACCTAGGGCACGCTTGGTAACTAGGCTGCCGAGGAGTGTGTGCGGGGCTGGGCGGGGCTGCGACCACATCCGAGTCAGGTTCGAATTCAGCCCCAGCAGACTCAGGATTTCGGGTGCGGTCACCCAAGCACAGAGGCCATCCCTAAAATTTACAACCAAATGCACAAACCACTAGCTGCAGTTGAAGCCTCTGAGATGGTCTTCTCTGAGCCCTAGACTGAGGTTTGGCCAGAGCGAGGTCACGTGCCAACTAAATGTGTCCACGCCTGCTGGTTCCTCGGTTTCTCGTACTTTTTGTATTGATCATTTTCTCGGTGGGGTTTTGGAGACTAGAAGATCCTGGAGAAACCCTGGATCGGCAGGATGTTTTGCTGGACGGACCCAGTGCTCTTTCTACCGATCTATACATTCCTGTACCAGACCCCGCAATTGTGTAAGCGGCTATGCTGTTGGGAGCAGGGAGCGCAGACCGCTGGCATCCTCCTATGGTGGTGGCAGCAGAAGTTATAGGGCTGAGGCGCACTGAGAACGCCAGGGCGTCTGGCTATGCCAAAGAAGCCTCAGAGCCCTCGTAGGCCGCCCCGTAGGGTACTACCAGTGGGTCCTAGAATAGGTCTAGGTCCAGCTTTGAGGAGTTCGGCCACTGAATTCAGGCCCCTTGACCGGCAGCGGTCAGGTGGGCACTTAAGAGGTAAGTAGCTCGCGCTGATCTGGGGTCCTCTGTATGCTCCCCAGAGCACCCCCGAGATCGTGTAAGCACGCCGTATGTTGTATGCGTGGGTGGAGGGGGGACATGAGGGAAGTTCCCAGTGGCCTTCAAAACTCTCTGCCCAGATTCTGGCAAGGCCAGGCCACTCTCTGTGTCCTCCTAGAACTTCTCGCCCAGCATTCTCAGAGGAGCCCTACTAAAAAGAGAAAGGGAGTGCTTCAGAGTTTAACGCAGCTTTGTAAATCATGTTGTAGATAATTACTGCAAACTAACACTTAAGCAAACTAGCTGGAGGAATAAAGCAAACAGAATAAATTCCTTGGCGCTCATAAACCCACCCAAGCTGACCCCACCTTTCCCGGTGCTTCTGCAGGGCCAGGCCCCATGTCAGCCCAGGAGGACTAGAAAGCTGGGGCTCGGTCGGGAGGGTGGTGGCCATTGCTCGCCACCCAAGATGTTATTCACTAGTAACAATCCCCATTATCTGTCCCCACTTTGGGCTAATCAGACAATCGCTAATGCCCAAGGCTGCTTCCTGCCGCCTCTGGGAGGTAACGGGGCGCCAAGGGGCGGGGGACGGGACGGGGCGGGGCGGGACGCGGGTGGGGGGCGGAGGTGGCACCTTCCGGGCTCGGCCGGGCTTTGGTCCAGCACTCATTCAGGTACTTAACACCCTGGAGACCCAGACCTCGGCTTTCAAAGCGGACCGGGTGGGAAGAGCTGTTTATATAAACACGGATTCCGCTGTAAACGCGCTAATATCCTCGCCGCCAGCTCATGGCGAGCGCTTCCCACGTCCACTCCTAGGAGCGGCGTGCCCGGCTGCCCCTCAGTTCTCAGCCTGTCCTGCCCCCGCCTCCTTCCCCTCTTAGACCATGGCCACCTCTGGACGTCTCAGCTTCACCGTACGCAGCCTCCTGAATTTACCCGAGCCGGACGCGCAGCACCGGCCCAGGCGGGAGCCAGAGCCACGCACCCCTGGTGCGGACCACTGGCTGGAGTCTGAGCGCAGCCACTATCCCTGTGAGTGAGCGGAGGATTGCTGCGGTGGGGGGTGGAGGTGAGGTGGGAGAGGGAAGGGGGAACAAAATCAAGGGGGAGCAAAAGACTAGGATACCGAAATCCCACCCCAGAGTCTGGATTTCCTCAGTGTTGAAGTCCGAGAGGCCCCTTTCTCAGATCTCTGCCTTGCGTCCGGGTCCGCACAGAGAGTAGATTCCTGCACTTGGCACTAGTGCTGGACATTTGTATTTCTGTGTCTGGGAATTCCTACGGGTCGGAATATTAAAATATTTAAAACACCTCCCTTATATGTCTTTTATCAAAGCTTTGCAAATCTCAGGCAGACTGTAGTGCAATTGATCTGGAGGTGGCCCGTTTTTGGTGAAGCGGCTTGTCTCCCAGCGCAGCTACCATTGAAGTTATTTTGAGAGGGCCTTGAGGTGGGTTTCTTTGAAGAAGTATCTCATGCCTGGTGAGCTGTTATGGTATGAATGGGTCAGTAAATTCCAAGAGGTGGGTACCAAGATGCGAACCCAGTGAAGGAAACGGCCTCGCTCTGCAAGTTGCGCGCGAGTGGGGACGCCCTCCGGCTGGCGGCTTGATGCCTAAAAGGGCTCCAGACGCTCGGAGGGACCGGCATCTCACCAGACCGTGTGTCCTTTGCCGTTCCTAGCCTCGGACGAGAGCAGCCTGGAGACCAGCCCGCCAGACTCGCGGCGGGTGTCCTCTCAGCTTACGTCTCGGGGCTCGGACGCCGAGAAGAGGAAGAAACGGAGGGTGCTGTTCTCTAAAGCGCAGACACTGGAGTTGGAGCGACGCTTCCGGCAGCAGCGCTACCTATCTGCTCCTGAGCGTGAACAGCTGGCGCGCCTGCTCCGCCTCACGCCCACTCAGGTCAAGATCTGGTTCCAGAACCATCGCTACAAGTTGAAACGGGCACGCGCACCGGGAGCCGCGGAGTCGCCAGACCTGGCAACCTCTGCTGAGCTGCACCCTGCGTCCGGCCTGCTGCGCCGCGTGGTGGTGCCCGTGCTGGTGCACGATGGGCAGCCATGCAACAGCAACAGTGAGGCCGGCACCGCGTCGGCCCAGGACAAGTACAGCTATCCCGCGTCCGCGGCCTGCCCTTTGCCGGGCTACACGGCCTTCGGGCCCGGCTCGGCGCTCGGCCTCATCCCCGCCTACCAGCATTTAGCGCCCCCCGCCTTGGTCTCCTGGAATTGGTGAGGCCACACGGGGTACTTGGGGGCTATCCCAGACTTTGGAGCGCGCTGTGTAACCGCTGTAAGGCTACAGCCAAAGACCTATAGCTGTCCGGAACCGCTCTTTGCAGGCCCCTTCCCTGCAGGTCCCACTTCGGGGAACTCTCTCTAGCCGTCGCGGAAGCACACGCAGTGAACTTTCTGCAAGATCCTCCCTTTTGCTAAGATCTCCCTTTCCCTGGACCTCCAACCCCAGACCTAGATTTTACTGAGTCTTATTTGTATATTTTAAATAGCCATTTGTATGGGAAGCGACTTATTTTAAAAGAAATAGAATATTTTTTCTTTCTGTGAATCAAGAATAAAATGTGCAGGGTTGGGTCCCCCAGAGTTTCTGATGGGGACTATAGGTTGGAGCGTGCTCACCGCATTGGAGCTTATAGCCCCTTGGCTGAAGGGCAGGTCGCAGTGCCAACTCGGCTTTAGGAAGATGGGGGAGTGGAGGGGAGGAAGCTAGCAGTGGTGATCTCATCCCCATCCACTTGCAGGAATCCTGGGGATTCTGTTAACTTGTGTGGTAGCCTTGGTCCCAGAGTGTCGCTGAAGCTCCTCTGGGCTCCTGGAGTTTTGAAACTGCAAAACTCTACCATGTGGTCCATGAGGGGCAATGAGGGTCTCCGAAGCTGGGTACCGAAAGCTCAGAGACCCATAAACCACCAGGAAATTCTCAGTTAATTCCCAAGTGTCTCACTATGCTGTGATTTTCCACCTCCTCTTGACGCAGAGCCTATCCATGGTGGGACTGGGTCGGGCAGCGGCGTGAAGAAATCAACAGTAGTAGGCCCTGGACACTGCCTCAGAGCGGCTTTGTACTGCGGGAACTTTGGTGGCCCTAGGTTAAAACACAGTCCGCTAGTGCGCTTCCCCTCGTTTTATATGCGCTCCCATTGCACATTAGGCTCCAGGGTCTTAGTGTTCCACCCCTTGGGTTTGTAACTGCTCCTCATTATTTGGAACTCCCTGCAGGCAAGTCCCTCTGGAGAAGTGGTGATATCATCCCCCCCCCTTCCCCGCATCCACTTGCAGGAAGATGCACCTGAGAAGAGCAGTTTAGGAAATCGGGTCCAGGGGAAGGGAATAGGAGCCCCTAATAGGTCTGTGAGTGGTAGGTATCCAGCCTGTTAGAGGCCCTAGATTTCCTGTTCAAGGAGGAGACTGGGAGGCAGTGTTATCACCTGGGATTTGAGGGTGGGGGTGGAGAAGGACAGAGGGGGATGGGAGTGGGGAGTTTGGGTCTCAGCTGCCGGCCACCTTGCCTTCCATATGGATGTGGTTATCTTAGAAGAATCTCGTTCCTTAAACCTCCTTTTGTCTTGGGAACTGAAAAGGGCATTGTCGGGCCTGAAAAGGACCTAGACAAAATCCGCACTGTTTGGATTCAGGACTCTGTTTAATCAGTCCCTGGTGACAATGTAGTGGGTGTTAGGCAGGACAATAGTATCTTTTTAAACCTTGTGGCCTTCAGGAAGACAAAGGGCTTGAATTTTATGGGCTTACAACTTCAATTAGAACAGTGCCAGTGTGCATGGGAGATTATCAAATTTGTATCATAAAACCCCTTTCTATTAAATGATTGTTGGGGAGGGAGCCTGAACATTGTAAGACATATATTGGGACCTGCCAGAGGCTTCCCAGTTAACCCTAGCAGAGCAGATGGGGAAAGAAAAGCAGGAAAGGATTTCTGAAGACTTGCAGCTATGGTCAGCTGGCTGGGTGCTTGGCTCTTCCATGCTCTTCCTTCAAGAATGAAGGGAAAGAGTCATTGCATATTGAATGCCATTGGTTGTGACAAAGATCTCCTAAATATCCTTTAGGAGAAAATAAAAAGAAAGCACTGCAGGGCTGGGGTGGTGGCTCAGTGGTACAGCACTTGCCTCACATGTATGAGGTACTGTGTTCAATCCTCAGCACCACATAAAAATAAACAAATAAAGTCATTGTGTCCATCTACAACTAAAAAAAAAATTTAAAAGAAAGAAAGAAAGAAAGCACTACCTGTTCCATTCTTTTCCTAGAGCTCCAGAGAAAGTAGATTTTGGAATCTGCAAAGTGGACAGGGCCTATTAAATATAGTCTCATGGAGAGACTATCTAAACCAAGAGGTTTTGTAAGAGAGGGTATCCTCAATCAAATTCATCATGGTTCCAAATAGTGGGACAGAAGACACAATCAGTTGTTTCCAAGGAAGATGGTTAGAATCACAGCAAGATGTCGAGCCAGGCAGCCAACTGTGTCCTGGACAGGAGGAGAACAGCAATTTCTAATGAAAGTAGAACCAGGAAACATAATGTATGAGCAATTACTCACTTCTTTTCACTTTTTCCTTTAGGCTTGGAAGGAAAATCCAAAGGGGAAAGTGTAAAATGCATTCCCATCATGAATTTTAGAGGCCCCAGGATGTCATATTTGTTTTTTTCCTGTTCACACCTGCGATAAGCTGGAATAGATATAAATGTCAGGTTCATTTGTGACCTAAGAGGTCAGTTCTTCTAGGTTCTGACAAAAGCTGAATGAACCCAAGGCCTCTCCACAAACAGCTGTGAAAATAGTTAAGAGCACCCTCCTCAGATGAAAGTGTCTCAGACTTTTGTCACCCATCATCAACATCACAAGGCAGGTTCACACTCAGGAAACTTTGATTGAAACTTACTGTGTTCCAGGCATTTTTCTAGACACTTTCACAGGTGATATCACAGAAATTTTATACTCTGTGTGTGTGTGTGTCCTGTTTTATAGGTAAGAAACTGAGACTCAGTGGATGGGGCAGGTGACTTGCCCAAAGTAGTTATAAACCTCAAAGAAAGTTACCTTTGTCCTCGGCTTAACTCACATATGGAGACCTTCCTTAAAAACTGCCCTCAAGGAAGACAATTGTCATTTTGATGTGACAATAGAAATTCTATGGAACCATCAAAAATTATCTTATGAATAGCCTGGGAGTATGTGGGAGCATGCCAAAAGCACTCTGTGTAGCTCAGAGCCACTCCCAGAGGCTGATCACATAGTAGAGTAGTTGCTAACACCTATTGATTTCTGCATGCCAGACAATATTCTGAGTTTTTTCCCAAAATACTATCTCATTCAATCCTCAAAAAAAAAAAAAAATCATGAGATAGTACTACTACCCCCACTTTTCAGATGAGGAAATTGAAGGTCAAAGAAGTTATAAGTTCCCAGGGTCATAGTGTTAGTGTCAGAGAGTTTCTGAACCCAAGAAGTCTAGCTCCAGATGCACACTTTTAACCACATGGTGGGAATGATTTCTCATTCTTTATATTCTGTTGCTCTCAGTGGACAGTCCTAGTTACCTCCCTGCTTCTTTAGAAATGTTCTGTAGTGCCTGCCAGCCCCCCACCTCCATTTACCAAATCTCTAACTTTGGGACATAACCTCTGTGTTTCCCCTAGATTTGTTTGTGTGTGTTATTGTCCAGCTGTCAATGAAACACAGCTCTTGTCTGCAGGTCACAATATTCTCCTGTGACTATCATTTTACCATTCTTCTTCCAGAAAAACATCTGCTGTTGATGTCTTGACACAGATTGTCCACTCAGCATTCAGTAGAGTCCCTGCTGGCTCTGATAAGCTCCTCTAAGCTTTTCCCAACCCCCAGGCTCAGTTTCCTGTGGAGCTTTATGACTTTGGCTTTCCTAGTCCTTTCCCCAGTCATCTTTTTCCTTCCTGGGTCTCCAGTTTTATCTTTATTAGTAAATATGATCCTCTTCACAGTTTCTCTCTCTTCTTCCCTTGTAAACATTAAGTCACTTAAGTCTCTTGCAGGTGGAGATCACAATTTTCACTTCAATTTTCTTTCCTCATTGTTCAGAGGATCTTACATCTTAGCACATCTCTTATCTGACCAATTTAGCACTTTAGAATCTTAGATAATGTGATACTGATGGGTTAGAAGGAAGTTATTTGAGCCCAGGTTAACCTACATCTTCCTTTCTAACAATGGAGTTTAAATGTTTATTATTCTCTTGCCTTGTTGACACAGTTAACTTTTCTTCTCCTCTCCCTACCCCACCCCTCACTTCACTACTCTTAAAATACTTTTGACTTGTGAATAAGATGTTCAGGTAGGATAGTTATAGGCTTGGTATGGTTGAATATCTTGTTAATTGTGTTTATTTGTTCTGAGTGGTTCAGTTAACCAGCCTGCACAGGTTATCTGTAAACATGAGAGCAACAGATAGTCAAAGGAGTTTTTAGAATGTTGACATTATCCCAGAGCATGACAATTGCTATGGATATGATTGTCTCCCTCCAGGTCCCTTACCATTTTCTAAGTCATGCTATTGGTGGGGCTTTAATAAATGGTTCCTTAATTATTTTCAGAATTCTAATTCTATACCTTTTCACTCCTCTCTGACCGCCCCCCACTCCACATATATACTAATAACTAAAGGTGTCTAGCATCTTCCTCTTTATTTGGTGCTCAGTGTTTATATTACTGTCTGTAAGTTCACTAAAGAAATGAACAACGTTCTCTTCAATGCTGAGCCAGAGCGATGATATAAATTTAGAGGAAGATGAAAAATTGTTTAGGCTATTCAATGAGTAAGTTCTCCTTCTATTCCAACTCCTTCCCTCATCTACCCCAAAGTTTCTAGCACAGGGATTCTTATTTTTTCCAACCATGTCCAGTAGAGAAATTTTAATGTTTATGTAGGATAGTAACATCATCACAAATTAGAGGTAGAAAATGATTTTCTCTTCAATAAACTGCCCTACAGACAAAGAAAAATCTCAAGTTCTTCACGGAGGCCATGCAGTTTCAAAAGCTGCTACAGTTTCACATAGCTCCTATGAGTAGGATGTGATAGACGGAACATCAGAAGGGACTTTAGTCATGCTTAACTTCCTCCTGCCTTCTGACTGGGTGGTCCTTTATGAGTCAACAGGTTTTCAAATGCTTTCCCAAGAGCTCTTGGACTCTTTTCTCTCTTCCTAATACACCAATTGCTCTCCCCCTGACCCCCCTTCCTTGAGACTGGATTGAGTATTTTGCAGAATTTACTAGAAATGGGAATAGAGGCTGTTTGCAAATCAAACTGAAGACAAAGGTATCAAGAAAATCCATTCAAAGGGCCCTTGAACCTCTCACCTGAGGCTGTCTTCTTCCTATTATACCTTTCTCCTCCAGCTTTGCTTAAGGACAGTGTATTAAGCAACAATTCCTCCAGTCCTAAAGATGTTATCAGCTTAGGTTTAAATTCTCAACTAGAGATAACCCTGAATCATAACTTCTCAGATCTGA